TGAGAAACTATTTAATACTTTTGTATTTTTGTACTGAGATAAATAATTTTCACATTTAGTATTATTTTACAAGAAAGTCACTTTATTTTAAGGATTGTATGACATTTGACAACTGTCAACTAAATTAAAACTAACTTCAGTCCGTGACTAAAGCGCCATAAAGCCACAACTTGTCAATGTGTATTTAAAAGGTCACTTAGTGAAACATGTACGATAAAGGGCGTTTTAAAGGTGGGAGTAGAAAAACATATTTTAAAGTTATTTTAATATTTTAAAGTATCAATAGTCGTTAAGTTTAATTAAAATAATTAAGATCCTTAATCAAAACAAGGTGGGAGCACTTCTTAGCCAGTTGGTTCAACGCCAACAACGCTGCAAGTTATTTTAGAATTTTTAGTTTATGATTAAATTTTTTTTACTGATTTTGTGGATTACTCCTTCGAGTATTTCAAATGTGAGCAATACTTTTATCATTGCAAAATACATGTTTTCGATAATCTTTGGTAACTTTTCTTGCCCGGCCCGTAATCTAATATAAGTCTGGCTCTCAATTTTCCACTATCTCTTTTATACCGAAACGTGACGTTCATAAATGTTCAATGAAAATACGATACTGCTATAGAAATTACACCTGGAGTGGGAAAATCTTTCATAAGAATCTGTCTCCCATATTAATATTCGAAATATTTGTACCGAAATTGAGTTTTTCCCCTCTCACATGTAAATCGAGTCTTAATAAAAAAAAGATGAATTTACTTTATATCTCACTACTTTTTTCATATGTTTCATAATCTTTTTGGGCAATATTAATGTGTATGTGAATTTTTTCAAATGCTAAAAACTGTTTTTAAAAGTAAAAAATATTTTTTATACTACTCAATTGCTATAGATTAAATTCGAATACGATAAAAATAATCATCGAGTGATCAGATAACATAGAATTTAGTCCTTTAAGATGATCGTGTGTACAAGGCGTTTGCAATCCTTTGATTTGATCCTTCTTACACCTTGCTTAAACCTCTTGTTTTGTCTTTTGCTTTTAGACATAACACTGAGATCAAAGACAAAAACGCTTTACTATATTTCAGTCTCTGGTTTCTGATATTTTAGCTAACAAAAAAGACAGGGTGTTTGCCAAACATACTGTATAATATAACTAACATAGAACTTGGATTTGTAACAAACTTTAGATTTATCTGGAACGCGGTCTGAAATAGTTTCATCTCTATGATTTATATTTAACCCTGAAGTTATATAATTTTAACAAGACGAAGAAGAAATTAATACGCTTTCATAATGCAAATTTATTACTGAATAACTTAGCGGATATGGTATACATCTAGAAGATATTGATTTATTCAACAAAAATTATAACAGTGTTTTGACTCAATGAGGATCTTAATGCTTTTGTAAATAGGGCAGTAAAACAATCTTATCAATTTTTATGTCTCATAGCTTGGAAGTGCAGAGTTGCTAAATCCGCTTGAACTATATCTGAAAGAAAATTATATGAAAAGTTGTGCGTGTTTGTGTTGTCGTCAGAACAGTTGTTTAACTGCTGAGTTTTCGTATTAAATAACCAAAGGAAAATACTTTCAAAGTGACACACTAATTCTTTCCCTTATTGTCGTCGCCCTTACAATTCCATTTCTCTGTGCCTCTTTAAGCAAGCTTAATGCAAATAAAACGACAACAATTTTGCACAAAGAGGCACATAATTTATTTATCAGAAACTAAAATATTTGCCCGAGAAAGTTTTGTCTTCTTTGCATCATTTTCTTTAAAAACTACCTTAAATAAAAATTTGTACATATAATAAGAAGTTTCTGGGGAACGAAAAAAGATATCGATTTAAAAATTTAGCCCCGACCACTTTAACATAAAAAAATCAAAAAAATCATATTTTTTCTTACTCTTTAACTCTTCAGATTTTTTAAATTTATTTTTAACCTGAGCCCCGACCACTTTAATAATTCATAATAAATAGTTATTTATGTCATTAGGTTAAGAAGTAAGGCTTTTTGCGCTAAGCTCAAGGTTTGAAGGCCGACGCGTAGCGGAGGCCTACAATTGAGCGAAGCACAAAAAGGCACTTCTTGGCCGAATGGCATACAACATTTTATCTTCAAAGCCCTTTATATAGGTCAATTTAATTCAACATCAAAGTGGCCTAACCTCACTTTATTAGAATCTCATTTATTTATTAGCTAAAGATTACATTAAATGTACAATAATTATTATTGCTTTTAGAAGCAGTAATAGCTTGACAATACCTAGCAACATGATTTAAGTAGAAATGGACATTGAATTCAATTAATTGTTTAATAAATAGGTAGGTATCTAATTTCAATTTATTTGGATTTTTATTTAAAAAATAGGTAGTTCGAAATGTTTAAGCTGTGTTTAAGCAAATTAAAACTTAAAGATATTTTAAATCGTAGAAAAAGAATCGTGCGTTTTCTTAGTTGCCTAATCACACTTTTTGTTTTATTATTCATATTTAATTTTACAATAATTTAATGAAAAATATTAAACATTTACAGTAAAACAAACAAATTAGTGCTTATTATAAATAAATTAAACCAGTTTAGTACTTTAATTTCTTAGAAAAGGATTAATTTGTCAAAACAATACCCCTAGCGAGAAAAAATCGAACTAATTACTTGCCTCATAAAATTTTTTATCGGCCTAGGCCATAACAAGGTATTTCTTTATCGAATGTTGACAACAATAAATTTTAAATTATAGACCGCGTGTAGATAAAAATATTTAATAATACTTAGGTAGGAAAATAAACACAATTTGAATTTAATTATTTTATTTAATATTAATTATTAAAAATAAATAAATAAAATAAAATTTTTTTATTCCCAACAGTTACCTATTGACCTACTATTAAAAGTGTAATATCGTTTAATTCAGTCTTTGTATAAATTTTGCGTCTTATAGTTATATATGGGTGATTCCTCACGAAATGTCCCCCGATGGTGTTACCCCGTGATATTTAATGAAAATAAATGAGTTTGACTTACACTTTTATTGTGTTTTGATCTTTCATAATTAAGTAGATATTACAGCTCAAGTCCAGATTTTTAACCGCAAATAATTATTTTTTACAATGTTTTAAAGGTCTTAAACCTATCCTCCGTGACTGTTACTCTTTCTAGGTTAACCTATGTTTTCAAATATCTGAGGTAGTAAAAGCACACTAAAAATATCAGTTCACTAAGTAAATTAAACACATCCAAAGTAGTGTTGCAACGGTTACGGTTACGGTTACGGTTAATTCACGGTTTTCGATATTATACGGTTAACCGTAACCGTATGTCGTTAACCGTAACCGTATTTACGGTTTTTCATGCTACTTTGTGAATGCATGTAAAAAAAAGATTGAGGAGTAATTAACGTTACCAAATATACCACCTAAGTCAAATCCGTTTACATTCTGAAAAACGTGTTACACGTTTCGGCGTTTAAGAGTGTTGGCACTAAGGTATTATACAAACCATTGTCAGTGAATTCGGAGAGGTTGTTTTCGACTTCAGGTCTTGTGCAAACACCAAATAGGAACAGGCTGATTCCGCAGAATTTGCAGATGTTATGTTTTTTAAATAAAAATTTGACTCGTAAATTTTGAATTTTGAATTATTTTAAATTAACATTTAATTTTTTTATATTTTTAAATATATTATTCAGGTACCTACTTAGGTTTTACTTTACTGTTTTTAGGTTTAAAATGTAACTCATTTCCTATTGTTTTACAGTTTTATTAGAAATTCTGTTTTTGTTTTACATAAATTATTATTTAACCTTTACTGAACGTGTGTATTAATTTCAAAACTTTATTTTTCGTAATTCTGTAATTTTTTTTTGAATAACCGTGAATTTATTCGTAACCGTATAGCTAACCGTAACCGTAACCGTAACCGTAAAACCCGAAACCGTTGCATCACTAATCCAAAGCAATCGAATCAAATATAAAATATTATTAAAAGAAATAATTTTTATAACCCTTTATGTAGGTGTTGCAAAAATTGATTCTATCCTCCGTGAATCTGTTTTTGCTTTAAATTTTATGCAACGGATGGCGCTTTAATAATTAAATAAGCAAAAACCTCTGTTTACGACATTTAAGATGAAAAGTTTCATTAATTTGCTATTTAAAAACCTATCCACCGTAAAGTGTAATATCTCAGTAAGTAGATTTTTTTTATAAATATTTTATGTATGTATGTACAATTGTATTTTTAAAAAAATATTAAGGTGTCAAAAGATACAATAACTTATTTCAAATATACAAAAGGATGTTTAAAAAAAACATACGTGAAGCTATCTTCCGTGAAGGTAGAAAAATCATAAAAAAATCTATGGCTACCACGTAATCTGTCATTGTTCAATTTTTCAGGTTTTTATAAACATTTTGTTGTTTTTTCGTTCCAGAAACTTCTAATGGACCAAGAATGTGAAACACCCTGTATACTTTGATTGTAAATATAAATCTTGGGCTAAAAAATATGTTCCTTGATGGAGGTTTGAAAACGTAAATGTAAAATGGCGTGTAAACGTATGAGGGATGGATTTATTGAAAAATGAAAAGAGAAGCGATTTAGCCAGATTTGTTGTTTAATTTTATGTTTCGTTCGAGATAAGTCTCAGCAGAAACTGAACGTGTAATCCTTTTTGGCAGTAAATAAGATGTTCGTGTTGGTTGGTAGGCAAACAAGGAAATGTAAAATATTTAAATTGAATTCTTCCAGTAAACAAAACAAATTGAATTTGACAGGGGTCTAATAGAATAAGGAAGCTTAATATATATCGAATTGTGGTTAGGAGAAATGAAAAACCAATTACTTGGTAACCAGAAGGAAAAAAAATAAAGCACCAAGCGAAAACTTAAACCTTAAATCCTATTCCTTATAAAGCTGATGTATTTTAAAGCTTTACTCTTAATAGTATAAGTGGGGTTATGAGTTAAAGAAAATTTAATTTTATGATGTTTTTTATTCTATAACTCTACACAACTTCTATTCAACACTTTACGATTTAAATAGTCGATATGCTTCTTTATGTCGTCTATAATTTCATTCTTTTTCTCCATTAAAAGGGAATTTTCGAAATTTAACTCGTACGTGTATCGCCAGTTGTTGTGGAGCTCATCTTTCATGGTCGCAAAATATAATACAAGGTCATCCTGCGACATACTTTTTATGTCACCTTTAATTTTTTCCACTGCGTCTATAATTTTATTCAATTTTTCTGGATATTCGATTTCGCATTTTTCTTGTTCATGTTTGATTTCAGCCACTGATGATTCAATCTCCACTATTTCAGTGCACTCAGGTCTTGATCTCAGTCTTGATCTATGCTTTGAATGTTTATGTCCCATATTACACTTATTAATATTTCTAACCTTAAAAGTTTAACGAGAGAACAAACACATTGAAATTATTTGAACGAAACCTTTAGATAAAATTCTCTGATAAGTATTCTATTCAAATATTTATCAATACGACAATATATTAATTTTACATTAATTTCTTTGTTATATTTATCTATATTGGTTCAATAAAACTATGTTTAAGATAAAAATGCGACACGCTTACCTAAAAACGTAAACAATTACTTGTCATAAAAAAATTCCAAAACACAGCTGGTAATTAGTCTCTAATTTAACTTTAGGTTTGTTCCTGCCGAGTATGTTGACTGTCGAATAGACGTCAGTGACATGCGCAAAACCAAAATCTTTAACGCCAATTTTCAGTTTAAATTCTTGGTAAAATAATTTTATTACAGTGGAATATTATATTATATTTATTTATTATTTTATTTATTATTATTATAATTACTACTATCAGATTTTTGCAGATGATGGCCCCTTCCACTCTTGGTTGAATTCGTTTGTTCTTTACATAAGGTGATTCACATTGGCCTGGGGTTAGATCTCCAGGTATGCTGTCACTTATCACTTAATTACTTCCGTGTCCGTATGGTCTTTATTCACTATATTCACTTGTTGGTTGCTGTGTAATGCACTATTAATAACACGTACACTGATTTTTCTTGTCAGGCAGTAAATCTTTGCACTAATTTTGCACAGTATTTTTCTTAAACTACACTTTTTGAGCGATTTTTATGTTTCTTTTATTATTAGTATTTTATTACAGTATGCAATTAATTAATAAAATTAAGAAAAAAACAAGATTAAATAAAATTATATTTTTAATCTGTTATGACATGGTTATTAATATTTTTAAGGAAACAAAATAATAATGTTTACCAAACTTTATTACTAAATTAAAAAAATGGCAGGGGCTATAAAGAGTGGTAGACAGACAAAATAAAAACGACACTCATTTTTTCTCGTATTAATGAAGCAGCGAAATTCGCGGGTGTAAATTTTACAACTGTACATTCTCTCTAGGGCCTCTATGATTTATTAGGCAAACATGCTTTCTGTTTCAGTATTTAACAATGATTTATTTTAGCAACTTTTTGCGCCGAATTTCTAATTTGACAAGTTTTACCTTTCTCATGTCAGCATTGATTTTACTATTTTCTTTTATTGTTTGTCCACGTTCGCTAAGTGTGTACCCAGCTTTACAATTTAATATAATATTATTATTCCTATACTTTTTAAATAATTGGTTTACTAGGCTAGATTGTTACAAAATCATATCCTTTGTAGTCCATAGGTTTAAAAATTTATATTTTTCAAGGAAAACTTTTTTATTCATTATGAATGAAATTTAAACTGGAATAGTAAATTTAGGCAAAAGCGTAGAAAAGTTTAGATTTATATGTAAATTAAATTTAAAATGGTACATTTACATTGAAAAGGCAATTCGTTTTTGCTTCTCTTTGGCCGAAATGTTTTCAAGTCATACAGACTTAATCGGATATATAAATTTAGATTTTTTCGCACCTTTTAATAAAACATTTTTAATTGTTGACAGGTATTTTTTAAATATTTTTTTATAAATAATAATAATTGAAACAACTGTGCAATAAGGGGTGAGGGTAGTTAAGTTGATTTACGAGGAGAAAATAGAGATAAGTAGTAACATATGTAAAGGACAGGATAGCGAAATCGTATATCATATAGATATTCGCGTAATAAAAAAAGTTTTAAAAACAACATATATGTTATATATATATATGTGATACCAGTTAACTGGTGGGTGTAAGCATCTGACAGATTTAATATTTTATGAATTGTATGTTTAACTTTTTAGTTGAAGTTGCTTTTAAAGCTGATAGCTTTAGATTTATTCTGCAAACATTTGCAGCGTTGTTGGCGTTGAAGCAATACTCACAGAAAAGTGATCTGAATTTTATTAATTTTTCATTTGAAACAATAAAAAAAATCACACCTTTTTTAATAAAAACAATTTTTACTAAAATTTTAATGGATGTAAATAATAGGCACTCTCATTGATATTTTTTTTGGAAATTGCCATTTTAATAAACCGCGGTTTTATCGAAATTTATTTGTTATATAGTTTAACTGGGTATTGTTTATTTTACGGATTTACACATAAACATCAAATCCATTCGGCCATACATGCCCTTTTTACAGGCAGCATTTTTACCTAAATAATTTTTCGGCGTGATAAATTTTAAAATGATATATTTGTTTAATTGTTGTTTAAGCGTATGTTGTTTTCATTGTGGATTGAGGATAATACCAACCATAAATTTTGAGGTTTATTGTCTTTCTGATATATCGAGGGCATTTTACAGCCACTTTGCGCTTTATTGGAGTAAACGATATAAAAATTTTAAAATTGATCGTTTTGCTGTTATAACCGACCAAGATAGAGAATGTATGTTTTTATTGACAATTTACGCTCGAAAAATGGTTTATAATTCATAATTCCGTTGGTTATGCTTTAAGAAATTTTAGTTTGGACAATTTAACCCATACACGCATATTAAAATGATTTATTCACTGGAATTCACACAATAATAACTTCTTCCATGCAACGGTAGGCATATTGCCAAAACCGAAAATATGAACGCACAAAGACATTAATTAAATATATGCATTCATTATCCCCTAATCTTTAACGTCAACATACACGTTGGGTATATTTTATTAATAATTATTAATCGATTATTTACGAGACAATGTATCATGTAATACTAAATTTGGATTAGAGCAATATAATTCATTTACAGGCAAATAGTAATTAATGTTTCTTGTTCAAATATTTACTTAATCCAAGCTTCACGAAATACTGACGCTTCTTATTCGATTCATATACCACAACATACCTATCATCTAATCTACTAAACACATTAATCTTTATTGGTTCAGACATTTACGAATTGTGCTATTGCTTGTTTCATTTTTGGTGTAAACAGCAGCATTCGGTTTTTAAAGATTTCAGTCGCCCACTCACTGGTGATGGTAATATGGATCTGTGATCTTTTTGCTCTATGATCTTGTTTTTTCTTGGTTAATTTTGGTTCTATAATTTCTTTTTTGTTTGAGAATTTGTTGTACTATAGTGTCTTCATTTCTATGAGTATGAGTATAAGGAACGTATGGCAGGCCTCATCGGCAACGCCTTTTGTCGCCGGGCTGGGCCACACGCCCGATTTAGGCTGGTGGAGTGCGTGAGAAGGAGGGAAAACATTTTGGTTTTTGGGTTGTTAACATTTTGTGATGGAATTAGAAGTTGCATTTATATTATTTATTCTATATAATTGCTCTTAACTTAACTGTTTTTATTTTTAATTCTCTTATACGGCTCGCATCAGCATTACTTTTGTTCGACGCCTAAAATAGTATTTGTGTGATATATTGCAAAAATAACGTTAATGTTTGTGCGATAAATTTTGATTTTGGTTTTAAAGGGATGTAACAGGGTGGTAAGTGAGTGATCAAAGTGGATACGTGGGAATAGAAGGAACAAGTAGCTCGTCTCTTGGACGAGGCAGGTAAAATGACACCAGACATATTTACATGGGGCTATAAAAACGTAAGAGAATAGGATTGCGTGTGGAATTTTCGAAAGGAGCAGCATGCCTATGAATAATTTGCCCGTTTAGCGGGCTCTCTTACCGATGCTATACGACACTCTACGCTATGGCGGACCTTGAAAATAATGATTTTAAAATTTTAATGAAACGATACGACACGTTTTTGAAATATTTAAGACCCTATTTTTTATTATATTTATACAGGGTGTTTATTTATATTCATTTTAGCAATTGTCTAGCATAATGTATGTGTGTTGCCTACGTTCTTTGTTGGTGTTCTAGGGAATTGGTAGTATAGTTTTTAATGGAAACATTTTGTGTGGAACGTAGTGAATGCATATAAGGGAATTAATAACTCTTGATGAAGAGCATTAAGTCGGCAAAGGTAGAGCAAAGAGTTTGTTATATCTGTTAATATGACACATAGGTCTCAGGTGAGCTTCTGCTGGTATAATAAAGTGTGTCGCCAGCATACACTACACCATTTAATGGGAATATATGCTATAAGTTTGCACAGACCCCACACTCCTAAATTCATAATGACTGAATCCGCAAAGTTTGTCTGAAAGCCAACTTTAAATTACTTTAGACGTTGTTTTATTATTATGAGACCCTAATCAACACTAGCTCATTATCACACTATGCTAGAGCCACTACATTACACATCAATGAAAATCAGCCTTAAGGAGAATGTTTTTTCCTTTTCGAACGACACTTTCTAATTATGTGGCCACCCGCAGTTTTTAATTTAAGAAAATCCCTAAGCCCCAGAAAATTGAAATGAGAAATGAAAGATATAAACAATATACTCCCGTAAATTTCATTACACATAATTTAGTTGTGTCACTTAAGTCGATAATTTCGTGCATAGAAAACCCATCAAATGTTTTACGGCCCCTTTAAGTGTTCTATAAAATTAATATACGATCATCTTGGATATTACTTTGGATATTCCTTGAGGATAAATCTTTATTAAATTACCCATGACATCCTTCAAGTTTTACTACTGTAATTTTTACCGTGCATTGCCTAGTTCGCTACACTTAATTCTTAATGCCACCAATAACCCATTTACAATGTATTATTATAGTTATAAACGACAAGTATACAGTGTGACCCATCGAAAAAAGTCCAGCAAAGTTCGCTGCTTTGTATGTGAAAATAAAAAAAATCTATGAACCCTGTACTTTATTTGCTGGACTGTATAATCTACTATGGGTATACTTGGTGCTACTTTTTCATATGCACGTTTATGGGTGAATATATTGAGATGTCCCCCAACTGAAAATGATTATTTTTTATTTTTGGTTGTTTCACTGTTAGTCTAGAATGGGGGTTTTGGGAAGCTACCAGGTCTAGTAATAACATAACATAAGTAGTTCTGCACTAATGCAAGAATTTTAAGAAATCACACATTTTTAATATTAGAGCTTCACGGAGGTTAGGATTTCGTTTGTTTTCTTTAAACATCCCTTTGTATATTTGAAATAAGTTATTGTATCTTTTGACACCTCAATATTTAAAAAAAATACAATTGTACATACATAAAATATTCATAAAAAAATCTACTTACTGAGATATTACACTTCACGGTGGATAGGTTTTTAAATAGCAAATTAATGAACTTAAACTTTTGAATTATAAAACAGCAACACTCTCCTCTGCATATAAATTCTAACTGACCTTCAGGAATCACATGCATCTA